CCCCAAAACCCCAAAACCCCAAAACCCCAAAACCCCTTTAATCATAAAATGACTCAATCAAGGTGAATTATAAAATAAACGAAATAAATTAAATTGATGCAGTGAAGGTATTTAGTAAATTCTAGTCTCTTATTATTAATTTAAATAATGAATAAAAGCCCATTAGAAGACCTCATTCCGACTCCTGCCTTCTTAGAGCCCCTTATTTCGGTCATTTATTATCCAAGCAATTCAATTTCGAAATATCTCGACAGACCCTCTGGTAAGGAATGACTTTTGCTATTAAAATTCAATATATTTCTAATTTCAGAAAACTAATGCCTTGATTATTAGATTAAATATTGTACCTTGTAAGTTTTATTCTTGCAGTACTAAGTGGATGGACCTTAAATGCCTTATACAATGTTTAGGCTAGAAAGTTCATATCTATATTTATGGGATGTTTCATTCAACTATATATGTATGGAAAAGGTAAATTCTAAATAGTCATCAACATCAAACATTAATTTCATATTTAGGATTCTTTCCTTCCATTAGTTTTGTGATTATCTCATACTTCACGATGAGGTATACAGACAGATAATAATAGCATAAGGTTATATTTATAGTTAATGCTTTATTACTCGGCCTAGCTCATGTGCATAAAATGTATTACTACTATGGATTCTGGGGTGCTGACATCACCAACTTGATGATGATGAATTTATGTAGGATAACAGCAGTCTCCATTAACTACAAAGATGGATCAATACCTAAAGATCTCTAAGAAAAGTAACTCAAGACAAGTAAGAATCATATTAATAATAACACAAGAGTAAATTTTTAACCAATAATAGGAGAGAGAGCATATGCAATCGATTAAGTACCTTCATTTTATGATTATTTGGGTTATTTGTACTACTGTGGCGGTACTATAGCAGGTCCTTTCTATGAGTATAAAGACTTTATTGATTTCATGAACAGAGAAGGGCATTATTCGAACATTCCAAGCACCATCATTGCCACTCTCGAAAGACTTTCAATAGCAATACGTAATTTATTAAAATAATCTAAAATTATGAAGTCTTCATTGCTGTCGTTGGATTTGTTTCAGACTATTTTCCATTCTATTTTGTGACAACAGATGAATTCGCTGCAATGAGTTATGGTAAAAAAGTAATATTTAATCCATGTCATTATTTAATAACAAATAGATGTTGATATTGCTATGCACACTAAAACACAAATTATTTACCTACTACACAGCTTTTTGTTTGATGGATTCAGGTTCCATTGCTAGTGGTCTCAGCTACAATGGCATAGACATAAATAGTATGAATTTGATTCATGATTCTCCTTATAAATAATTTGGCCCCTTCCACTATTTAGAGTCTTATAACTTTTGCTTTAGAGAGACCTTTATTCGATAGAGTTCAAAATATCAGAGTTTGGGATATTGAGTTTTCTTACAAAGTTCATGAATTCTTCAATGCCTGGAACATATCAGTACATATGTGGCTCAAGCATTACGTATTTCTGAGGATGGTAAAGAGAGGTGAAAGAATTAGTCTAAAACCTATTATTACAACCTTTGCTGTTTCTGCAGTGTGGCATGGATTCTACCCTGGATATTTCTTATTTTTCATATCATCAGGATTAAATGATTATTTGTTTAAATCTGCTGCCAAAATCTATGTTTTGTTTGAATGGATGCCTTCTTTCCTCTAAAAGTTTCTTCTTTTGTAAGTAACTACGCCTCTAATCTTTAAATAGCTCATGGTCATATTTCTAATGTGCTTACTGGGGAATGTGCTTTGTGCTTTTAGATCTATCAAACATTCACAAGATGCATTCAGCAGTTCATTATTCTTTACATTTCATACTTATTGGGTCACTCTTATTCATAAGATTCTCTGGAATAATTCCATATTGCAAAAGACTAGAGGAAAACAAGATTTAGAAATCCTCTTGAGGGTAGTACCTTTCAAAATGAACAAAGACCAAATAGTCAAAGACTAAATCATCTAATTTTCAATATATTTTAGCAACCATCCATTTAAATCTATCTGCTTGATGCGGGGTTTTGGGGTTTTGGGGTTTTGGGG